TGTAGTGGAAGGGGCAGGGAAAATTCAAAAAGAAAATTGACTTGCTTGAAGAGTTTACAATTTTAAAAAATGCCTAAGATAGGCCAATTTCTCTGTAGGACAACTTCTTTCAGAACCAAATTTTTGCATTCATTCTACATCATCCTGATTTCAATTACCTGTATTATATAGTTGGGAGCAGGGGGGAGAGCGGACCAGCAGACTTTCCATGATAATTTCCAAAAGTAAAAGTAATGTAGGGAAAAAAGGGGAAGGGCAGGTCCATTTGCCCCCCCCCCTTTTCCTTGTTCGTAAATGCCTGCGATGCATTTAATTTGCTAGCATAAAATAATAGTAATTTTTTTTTGTAGTATTATTAACATAAGTATAACACTCTGGAATTCATTTGCAAGATATCTAACAATTAATCATACTGGACACACATGATGAAGTGTGTATTAAACAAGTTTCTTATCATCTTTCAGAGTTTTCTATGTGGTAGATCAAGCACACAAAAAATAAAAGATTCTACATGTAAGACAATGACGTTCAAAAACTGGCTGTTAAGTTCTAGAATGAGCAACAGGAATATCTCCGGGAAAACCACAGCACTGATACATATATATCTGGTACGTTAAAAACTGTACAAATGTCATGTTCTTAATTTTATTATCTGATACGTTAAAAACTGTACAAATGTCATGTTCTCAATTTTATTCATTGCTTTGGGCATTCACACAGGTCAAATTTCACGTGCGATAGCAATAGAAATTGTTTCATTTCTTAAATATAATATAGTACATATAAATCAAATCTTTTTGGCGTTCCTACAAACTTCACAGGACCCCTCCCCCCTTTCAATACAGACCCGCGTGCGTAAAATCTATTCCTGTGAATATCCAATAACTCTTTGTTCATTAAAAACTCAAAGAAACAAGATACGTTGTAGCACTTTATCAAATTAGTTGGAGACTTAGTATGATTATTTAATAGGAATGTTGGGAAAACTGAAAGGACATACCCGGCGCCTAGCAATGATTAATCAGGCAGTCCTTAATACAGCCGAATTTTTGGTATCTGTTGAAGAGTCGTCTAACAAGCCAATCACGTCTGATTTTCAAGACATAGTAAAGAATCGCCTCTCCTCGCCTACTGATGATGATAACATTTGTTTTATTAATTTGCAAAGCACAGAAAAATCCATCAACCTTGAAAAATATTTCATGAATCACAAAAAGTATCTGTTTGCATGGATATACAGCTGCGGGAGTCCTTGAGCAGTTTTGCAATATCATTCCACAACTAACAAGAAAGATCCTTCTTTACCCAGGACCATCCGTGCCATGCAACGACATAAGAAGGAGCACGAGAAATACTGCTGAGAAGGTGAAAGACGAAATGAAATCTTTGTGCGAGCAAGGACTTGGCGAAACAAAACATAACAAGAGGCCCATGGGCCACATCCCTCACCTGAAAAGCTTTGACCATTCTGTTCTTTACCAGATTCCCCCCTTGTAATACATAATGCATCCCCACCCTACACTGATCATAATTTAGACATTTTGAAATCTACACTACCCCATGATCCTTCAATGTGCACATAAGTTTCAGTTTTTCTGGCCCAGTGGTTCTTCAGAAGATTTTCAAAGATTTTTCCTATATACTCAGTACTTCTATGTAAAACTTTGATTCCCCAATGTGGCCCCACCCTTCCCCTGGGGGTCAGGATTTGAACAATTTAGAATCTACATTACCCTAGGATGCTTCCACATAAGTTTCAGCTTTACTGGTCCAGTGGTTCTTGAGAAGATTTTCAAAGATTTTTCCTATATATTTCTATGTAAAACTTTGATTCCCCATTGTGGTCCCGCCCTTCCCCTGGGGGTCATGATTTGTTCAATTTAAAATCTACACTACCCTAGGATGCTTTTACATAAGTTTCAGCTTTTCTTGCCCAGTGGTTCTTGAGGAGAAGATTTTCAAAGATTTTTCCTATATATTTCTATGTAAAACTTTGATTCCCCATTGTGGTCCCGCCCTTCCCCCGGGGGTCATGATTTGAACAATTTAGAATCTACACTATTCCAGGATGCTTCCACATAAGTTTCAGCTTTACTGGTCTAGTTGTTCTTGAGAAGAAGATTTTCAAAGATTTTTCCTATATATATCTATGTTAAACTTTGATTCCCCATTGTGGCCCCGCCTTTCCCCTGGGGGTCATGATCTGAACAATTTAGAATCTACACTACCCTAGGATGCTTCCACATAAGTTTCAGCTTTTCTGGCCCAGTGGTTCTTGAGAAGATTTTTTAATGACCCCACCCAATTTTTGTCTTTTCTTTATTATCTCCCTTTGTGAGGGGACTTGGCCCTTCATTTTCACAATTTAAATTCCCCTTCACCCAAGGATGCTTTGTTCCAAGTTTGGTCAAAATTTGCCCAGTGGTTCTTCAGAAGAAGTCGAAAATGTGAAAAGTTTACAGACGGACAGACAGACGGACGGACAAAATATGATCAGAAAAGCTCACTTGAGCCTTCGGCTCAGGTGAGCTAAAAAGCCGCAAGATGCGGGGCGACTGATTTTCACTTTTATTTAAAAAAACCCACCCAAGACATGTCACTTGAAAGTACCGTACAGATGACAAACACGCTTTCCAAGGTTGGAATAGACATGAGGCATTGTATACGGGGAGGCTCTTTCTAACACCAAGAATGCACCATCGTGCAATATATGAAAACTCTGATCATGATTGAATAATTGTTCTATACTGATTTCATGTTGTCAGATTTTGCATAACCACTTGAATGGCCATAATGCCATTGCTTTCATACTGATATATAAATTTTATTCAACTCAAGTAATACAAAACAATGAAATTATAATATCTTCCCTTTAATATTTACTCATGTCATCCTTCTGTATACTTATATTCCTCTTACAAATCAGTTGTTAGTTCATATTCATAATGGAAAAGACATACTTCATACTTAATGTACACTTGATGTGGACTCATAAGAGTCGGATATCGCCCTGGTGATGATGTGCAAAAAGTAATCAGAATATTTTGCCTTATTAATACGAAGTCAGCTTAATTTTATGCGTTAAATGCGTTGTCAATGATTTCACCAAGATAAATAGACAAAAATGGAAACTTAATGTTGACATGTTGGCGACTTTAAATAAACCAACACAGCTACTAAATACATGTATCTAAACAAAAACAAATAATAAGAATGCAATGTGCACATAACATCAAATCAAAAAACGACCAACATAGCGATGTCAATGATCAAAACAATGTAAACAAGATTTTTAAAAAGGCAATGTTGACATGATGTCGACTCGATATAGACCAACATTGCGATGTCGACATGTGAACGATGTAAACAACAGCAAAGGGGAAGGCAATGTTAACAAGATGTTGATGTTATATTGTATTATTACTAAACAATGTTATATATACAGAGATTAACAAACGCATTATTGTCATGTTGAATATGTTTTAATATTATGAGGACTGGTATTTTTACAGCAATGTCGACAATATCAAAAAAACATCGTGCACTGGTCATACCTCTACAATTTGAGCATACACATAATTCAGGAGACCCATTCTCTGGATGAGGAATCTACCCTGTTGTGCCCTGCTTCCTGCATCAAGGATATCGAAGACGAAAGAGGGATGTATGAAAAATATAAAAGAAACTTTCCCATTAAAATACATCTCTGCATTTTTAACATTTTGATGAAAAACCTCTGACATTCATTCTTATAATGTTACAGTTCAATTCTTTATATGTATCCTGTGTTGAACCCGTGTATATATTCCCGTGCTGTATCTCTGCTGTGTATGACGTCAATCGTTTGTGTGTAGCCGTAAGAAGAAAACGCCATTCTGTGTATGCATCCACGGGTAACTTTTGTGAATTTGATCGACCTGCTGTGTGCGATCATGTGCCTCACATACATAATAACATGCTGTTGAGAGCGCTCATAAACTTTGTATGTTTATGTACATGTACTTGTTTCTGTAATAAATATAACTACAACAATGTTGAAGCTCTCAACCTTCGACATTTGCATATAGTTTATTCCTACATTCTAAATCAATGGGGGAAAACCTGATAGATTTGAAAGGCATTGAGAACATTAGATAAACTGCCAATACATTTATGTGATTAATTGCATCTAATTCACAGCGACCGTTCACGGAAGCTCGGTCGGCAGAGCTTATTTGTCTGCCGTGATTCTACCTGGAAAAAATCTTTGACTAAACTTTGTACCATCATGCAATTGTTTTTTTGTTTTTTGAGACTGGACGAGTATCCCGTTAAGCTCCGCGGTCTGCCCATGCTCTTTCATGGCCTTTTGCTCTCCACGGTAGGCTGCACTGTCTCCATCAGTGGGGATCTGGCCAATGTAAGTAGGCCCTGGGTCACTTAGGAACTCACGGCAGATTTCCTCTGTGGCCAAGTCCTCCCTACCAATGGGCTTGTCAATCATTAAGGTGGCAGTACACATCCCGGGATGATCCGGAGACTTGGCTCCGCTTATGACAGAGTTTGTTTTTTGTGACCACTCCAATATTTTTTTTTTATTTGCTTGGTGTAACATTACTTAAAATAGTATATGTACTTTGTATTGCAGGTTGAAATGGGTTCCTGTCTCTCGGCCAGTAGATTGTTGTAGCGTCTGTCAACTTCCACAGGAATAGGAGTTTTAGGTAGTAATCCGTAGTTCTCTAGTACATTTTTGAGGTGAGTTCTTTGCCTTTCTAGATCTTCTTTGACCATGTTTACAATCTTGGGTCCTACCTTGTTAGCACTGTACTGCAAACCACTGTAGGATGGTGCTGGGCAGTTGAGGGTCAGGAACACTTCCTGTAGTGAAGTTCTTTTAACAGGGGGCTACTTCGATTCGAACCCGAGTATTAACTCTTGGTTGACGTCACATGACCGGATGTTTACACCAACACGTGGTTTTCAAGCGAACTCATGTGCGTTTGAAGGGTAGCGAAAACATGGCGTACATGTTTGCTATTTACGATAATTTTATCGATGAAAGTGACGAATTTGCGCATTTTTTGATTCTTAGACATTCAGTTGTATGCCAAATTCTTATGCGGTTCTCTGCTATTTTAAGGAGAAAACATTTGCCTAGACTTGGTGGTTTCTCTGAAGAAACAATTCCACATTTTACAAACGAAGACTTTAAGCTTCATTTTCGTATAAGTAAAGGTATGTTTGAAGAAATTCTAGCGCGCATTTCACCACGTTTGGTGACAGTTGATCATGGCGGTGGGATTGCAGAGACACCGCCCTGTAAGCAGCTTCTAATTTTTTTGAGCTATATAGCAAATCAGGAATCCATGAGGGAAGTAAGCCTTTACTTTGATGTTGGCATGGCCACTGTTCATAAGACAATAAGAAAAGTCAGCAGTACAATAAATGAATGTCTGGGCAGCGTAAGTACATAACTATATACACTGTACATGTAGCCTACATGTGTGGCATTCATATTTTTTCTTTTTATAATATGCATCAAACATTAGACTTTAATTTCTTTCCATGAATTTGTAAAATTTGATAATCATTTTAGACAATTAAAAAACGTAAAAAACCTGGCAAGTAAATTTAAACATCAGTTTATATTTAAGGTCAAGATCTAGTAAACAAAGGGTGCCTACAGATTTATCAAATTCAAGAAATGAATTCCTTTAATGATGCCTTATAACTTTAGCTTGGTCAAAAAAGGTGTTTCGGGGCATAATTTGTAGGAAAATAAGATGAAAAACCATATTTTAAACTGTCATTTTCAATGAAAAATTAAGAAAATTAGACATGAATATGGGAGTTTTTTTGCATAGCACACAACAAAATGTATCCAGATTGCCTACAGTCTTTCAGAAAACGGTAATTTGTATGTTCTTGGTCTCTTCTTTTAAAAAATGTTAAATTTAATATAGGTATCCGGACTACTTTTCATGTGATTTCAAATTAAATTCCATGAAAATACTTTATTTTCTACATAATTCTATTAGAGCCGTAAAGTACGGGAAAAAGAAAGTTGAAAGTGATTATGACGTCATAATGGATCTAGCACCAAAAAGTCAGTCTAAGAGCATTTACTAGATCTTGACCTTAATAACCAATACTAAGTTAGATTCTACAAGAAGATGTTTAAATCAAACAAATAATAGTGCCAAATTTGAATACGTTTACAGATAATTCAGTGGCCCACTTTTATGGAACAGCAGACCATACCAGGAAGGATTCAATTGAAAAACACTATACCAGACACAGTGGGCTTTTTAGACGGGACTCATATTCGACTTTCATCAGGCCCTGGCGGCGATCCTGACTACATCAACAGAAAATCATTTCCATCAATGCAGCTCCAGGTGCTGTATCAGACTTTAATTTTTCTTAATAAATCAAAACGTTGCATGTTGTCCAACAAGCTTTTTTAATTTGTGCAAGATTTTTATTACTTCTGAATGCTGAAAATTTATAATTTTTTTGGGATTAATTTTAGGTTGTGTGTGATGATACTCTTCTGATTCGTAACATTTACACAGGCTGGCCGGGTAGCACACACGATGCCAGGGTTCTGAGAAATTCTGAATTATTCACACAAGCTGAAGCTGGAAATTTATTAGACAGAAACAAAATTATCCTTGCTGATAGTGCCTACCCACTGAAAGGGTGGCTTATTACCCCATTCAGGGACAATGGCCGGCTTGGTGCAAACCAAAGACGATTCAATCGGATCTTGTCTTCTGCCAGACAATCTATTGAAAGATGCATAGGGCATCTGAAAGGAATGTTTAGAACATTGCGTGAAATACCCTTTCATAAACCTGAGGATATAGTGTCCTTAATTGTATCTGGATGCACTTTGCACAATCTTTGCATACTTCATGAGGATGATGTTGATGACTTCATTGAAGGAGATGACATTGGACATCCAAACAATTACCCAAACATTTTCAGAAATGACCCAAACGGCATAAACAGAAGGCTAGCCATTATGGCTAGACTTCCTTGATAAAATTTACATCTGACTTTGATTAAAATTAACTCTTCAGTCTTTTTTCTTCAGTTTATTTTGAATATGATAACAAATTTTCAACATAGAAATAAAAGCAAACTAAACATGGCACCTGAGTTATTTGACTAGAGTTTAAAAATAATAAAATTAATATGTAACAAGAAAACAGTCACTTTAAGAGTAGCTATTAAACATCAACATATCAAGACCTCAAAATCTGGCATCTGCCATAGAGGTCTCGAGTATAAAATTAAAATGTAAAAGACCAACTGTACAGTCTGCAGTCTCCACTATCAACTCAATAAATTGAAAAGATATTGATACAATGAATAAAAATATTTCTTAATTTTTTTTTTAGATTCCCATCTTATTACATCTTAGTACTTAGTACATCTTATTACATTTTTATAGTCTTCTTTTAAAATAGTCTGAAAATTGAAATCCCTTCAAATGAAAAAAAAGATGCATCATATTTTAACATTTCATTAATAAACTGCAAATAATGCATACACCATTTATTTGTTAAAAAAAATTGTACTTTGGAAAAAATTGAATGAAAAATTTAACTTTTTTGGCAGCTTAACTTTGATAATCTAATATAAAGTAATTCAAACATTTGTTACATTAGGCCAAAAAAATAATAGTCTTGTTTCCTGCTACCAGCCTTAAAAAAAATGGGGTAGGTAGTTAGGAAAATTATTTTATTTTATTTTTCCAACGGTATTTTGGGAATATGAACTACTACAAAACTTTAAACCAAATTAAACATGTCAAAGCTAGGTCATTATTATCTTTTAAAATGTAATTCTATGTCTTTTGATGCATAACTCAAGTTGAATTTTATGAAAGTCCATATTTTAAACATATATTTCATGAAATACAATTTGAATATTTTTTTTTTTAACTTTTGGAACATAAAATTCCTGCATTTTCCATTTTTTTCCCCACAAAAGCTAAAAAACTTTAAGGTCAGGTGCAAAAAAATAGGGTAGGTTAGGTAGCAGGAAACGAGACTATTTTAATTTTGGCCTTATAAGCAATGCATACTTTTTGTTTTCAGTACTAATTTCACATTAGTTTTTTTTCTCCATAAGATTCAAAAGTCGATCAAAACGATCCATTTTGGCATCATGTTGCGACTTCATCTGTTGAAGCATTTCCTCTCCCTGCTGAGTTAATTTTTCTATGGCCTTTGCTGCATTTGTTATGTTTTTTTCAGGTTTGATTTTTTTTGGTTTCGAATTTGACTTTGGATCGATAATGCTATCATCATCATCATCATCAGTATTACCCAACTTCACCAGTTTTCTTTTTGCAGAACTGTCGTATGTTACCTGGGCTTGAGTAGATGCTCTGTTGCCGAAAACATCATTGAAATCATCATAAAATTTCCAAGTAGTTGCTTTGTTTCCTGTTTTATTGTTTTCATCAATCACCTTTTTGTAGGTTTTTTTCAAGTTTTTCCATTTATTTTTTACTTGAAGCACACTTATAAATATGTTGTGTGCATTTAATTTCTTTGTAATTTGGCCCCAAAGAACATCATGGTTCTTCACATCCTGAAACTGTTCGTCCATACCTAATCTTATTTGTATGAGGTCCTTTTCCTCCTTTTCTTTCCATATGTGAACCTGCAGATATAATTTTTTCCTAGCTTATTACAAACCAACGAGTGGAATTCCCTAATTGGCATAACATTTGAATCGGAAACCTGTATCTCGTTATGAGATATCTCATTTTCTGAACAATCTGTTGAAGGGGTGAAACATTTTGTAGATAAATCAAAGCGTTCATTATCTGAAAATCCTTCACTGTCAAAACTTTCTTCTGCTTCAGAACTGTTTGAAAGATCAGAAGAGGGGGATTGTGGCACAATATTCATAAACAGTTTCTCAATTTCTTTATCATGATATTCTTTCATTTCTAATGTATTAACATTGTGTCCATAGTATTTTTTACAACATTTATTTACTACCTTTTCGGCACATTGAGGGGGCAACCTCATCAGAGATTGGTGCAGGAGTACCGGTAGCTGCTGCATTTGCTGCATTCGCCGCCGTGTCGTAAGCAGTTTTCAGTATAGAACTCCTTACAGCTGGGTCTAAAATTCAAAGAGAAAATGAAATAATTATATATCAATCAATTCAAGGTCTTTCTTTTATTATAAAAAGTATAACCTGGTCAAATTCTCATAATTTTTTTTGAAACTTATCATAATGCCAGTGAATAAAATATATTTATCACTTATCAATTTATCTCCTGCATAAAATTAAAATTTCTCTCATCTTACCACAAAATAAAAATCTAAGCAAAATTACCACAATTTGGACTTTGTAACATGATATATATATCTTTTGATATTCCAATTTCATACTTCCTCTCGCCTTTCTGGACACAGATGTTGACCCTGTAAATTTTATGACAAAAAACATCACTTAAAGCAACCTTAAATTATAAATTCATTTGTATTATTTATTCTTAAGTATTGTATATCAATATATGACATTTTTTTCATACATAATTCAGTGTTTGTAATAATCATGCACCCGTCCGCCCAAGACGTACAAATTTTGACGCGGGCCAATAGATTTGGATGGATTGACGCCCAAGTGGACTCGTTCAAATTTCCCATTTATTAAAAATTCATTAGTTTGATTAATCTCTCCCAAATAAACTAATGGTATTGGTAGGAAATAAAGTATTAAAAGCACAAAGGGTGAATTTGGCAGCCTATAGATTCAAGATAGAAGTTTAGATGATCTGACCCCCTGTTCAAATCATCGCAGAAAACAAATTTATCAAAGACAACTAATTTCTAGTAGATTTCTTGAAGGGCTGACATGTCTAACTGAATTTACAGTGAGTTTCAAACACTGCATAATAACATGCAACATTTGATATTTAACAAATATTCTGCCCATACAACATCACAAGTGTTTGAGGACAGGAACCCCCCACCAATATAGACCCCTGGGCCTTTTCAACTTTTTTTTCTCATAAATCATATTTCAATCATGATTGAATGACATGTTTGTGATAAAATCTATACCAACGATATATATGTATAGAGCGAGGATGGGGGTAGAATTTTTTATAAAAAGTTTAAGCACATTTTCCGAATTGATAGAAAAGATCATATCACAAATATGTCATCTATGTATATAATCATGATAATTTATGTAAAAAAAAGTTGATGGGGTCTACATTCCGGGAGGGGGTCTGTCCTCAAGCATCGGGGTTTGTCCTCAAGCATCTGGACCGTGGACAACAAAAAAATTAAATCGCAAATCATTTCAAAAAAATGTAACTGGGCAATGAGCCTGAAAAATCTAATCAAATAAACATATATGCATATATATTATAAAGCTTCATGTATAAAGTGTGTTTCAAAGTTTGCCTTCACGGAGTACCGCTGCTAAACATAATATATTGTAAAAAATAATTCTTACAGTTCAGTTTTTTCTATTTGTTCCGCCATTTTGAAACTCCAGTAATCCTACAGCATGGCTGGGTTAGCTTGCGTAGAGTTCATAAGGTCATATGACGTAATATGAGTAGTAACTACAGTCGTTCGATTGAAACTCTAGTCACTAGCAGGGGCGTAGCTAGGACTATTGTAACGTGTAGGCCGAAGAATGAAACCGAAGGTTTCACCGAGGCGCGAAGCGCCGAGGGGGGGGTAGGTGCGGGAGGGGGTCGCCCCCTCCCGCTGGGGGGGTTCGGGGGGTCACCCCCGAGAAATTTTTGAAATATTAGGACTCATTTGCACTACTCTGAGCATCAAAAATATTGAAATAGACATTAAATTTCTTTAAAATGATGTAATTTTAAAGAATTTTTGTACCAGATTTTGCACGCATAGTCATGACATGTGGTATTACGTGTTGTATTAAAAATGACTTGTGCATGTAATATGAAATTGATAGGATTTAGTGTAAGATTTTAAAAAGATTATCCACAAAATTTTATCATTTTTTATTGCTTTAAAATTCAAATTCTCCTTCAAATGAAATTGATTTTTCTGTTTTTCACAGCAACAAAATTGTCAATTACAGCATCAATGTCAACTGGCATATGACGTTGTACATGCAACAGAGAAAGATTGGACATCCTTTCGTCTCCCATAGTTGTTCTCAAATAATTTTTAACTCTACGCATCGCACTAAACGAACGCTCACTAGAGGCCGAGGATACTGGCATGGTCAAGAAAATGGACAGAACGCAGAAAATGCCAGGATAAATGTCTTTGTTGGTTTTATTCAGGAGATCGATGATTTTATTCGGTCCTGTATCGGTACCAGCAAGATTCCATCTAATCCTCCATCTTGTTATTTCATCCACAAACTCTACTTTGCTAGTGAGGTCTGACTTATAGGCGTTGTACAGACGATCTGTAACATCCGCTGTAAGGTCTTGCAGTTTGGCTGGTAGCAAATACGAAATTAAAAATCTCTCTTCGTTCTTTGTTACTCGACTAGATATTTCGTTTACCAGGTGATCTAAAAAGACGAGATACAACGAAACTCTCCAGTAATCCGACGGGTTGTTTAGGGGATGATTTTCTCTGTGTTGTTGACGTCCTGCTCTTCTTGGAACGCATGGCTGCAAGTCATGCTCTGCAGCTATTTCAGTTGCCCTGCCATACAATGCATCCCAAACACTAATGTCGTTTCTTTCATCAGTTAATCTCCTGATAACGACTTTGGCCTCTGTTACTGCTTCTAAAAGGTCTATGTCCTTTTTTTGAAGATAGTTTGTTAAGGCTACTGTAGAGCTCAAAACGTGTTCCGCTACAACTAGTGCAATGATAAATTCAAATCTCAAAATAGCAGCTAAGTATTGCGATGCCTTCTCATCTTTAGCATCTTCAAGTGATTGGAGGGCAGCAACGACCACGGGGAAAGCTGAGCGGAAGGTGAACAGTGAATCTGCTCGACTTGACCAACGCGTTTCGCACAGTGTTCTGAGTTTTGTTCGTCGGTCCATCTGCTCCTGTACGTCATCGTTTTCAGCCAGTTCGTCGGAGAATGCTTTCAAACGCTTTGCAGAATAATCAAAACAAAATGCCACATCCTGCACTGTTGACATCATGTTTCGAATGCACATAACCTTGCTGCTGTGTATCAATGCAAGATTCAGCGAGTGTGCTTTGCAGTGAACATAAGAAGCCTCGGGAACAACTTGAAGTATCCTGGCCTGGACGCCACTGTATTTCCCCGACATGTTAGCAGCTCCATCGTAGCACTGAGCTCGTAGATTCTGAATATTCAGGTTCAATTCAGCAAGAAAATCAATGATGATATTGGAAACTGCCATACCTTTCACACTCTCTGCATATTTAAAGCCAACAAACTCTTCTCGTATCTCAAGACAACCATCGATACTATCAAGAAACCTAATGCACAAAGACATCTGTTCTTTTGTAGAGGAATCGGTACATTCGTCAGCAATAATGCCCAAAAACTTAGAATTCCTGCAAGAATCCACAATGTTTTTGCGCACCTGGTTTCCAAGCAGATTGATTAGTTCATTTTGGATATCAGGGGATAAGTAGGTAGAGCGTGACGCGTGACGCGTGGCAAGGTGGTCGCTTAAGACGGGGTCTCTCTTGGCAAATTCAGAAAGGATGGCAATGAAGTTACTCTTATCTTCAGTGTGTCCCCTTATAGGGATGTTCTGCCTACCACATAGTAATAGCACTTCGATAATTGTCTTAAGTATATGTCTATTTCTCTCAGTATGTTTTTTGTGGCTTGATGATAGCATGCTCACAACGGTATCTCCCTTCCCTTCACTTACTCGTACAAATTCTTCCCCCGCCGTTACACAACCCTTATGAAATGCTAAATTTTCATGGCGCCGCGCAAGTGATAGCAGATTTTTCCAGTCTGTCATTGGACTGGATAAGAACGATTTTTCTTTCGAATCAGCATTGCCAAATAAGAAACAGTACGCACAAAACACAGAGTCGGTGGAAATAGAATAGCGCATCCAATGATGGTCTTTCAACCAAGATGGTTGGAATCGCCGAGATTTGGTACCAAAGGACCTGTAAAATTTAAATATAGCCAGCATTCAGGTACACTCATCCAACTCTCAATTTTCTTTGTGCAAACCACCAACAATGCTTATTATTTTACGTTCGGACTACTTGGGACTTGGATCAATATTCCATCCCTCCTCTAATCAGCTAATTTCATTTCTTCTTTTTTTGTTTTTTTTATTTCTTTTTTTTTAAATCTGGGATTGACTTTTTTTGTATTTAAGCCCCAAAAAATTATTTATTGTCTCTGACATGGATTATTAAAGTTATGTAATCAGCAAATCTTATCAACATTTTTTAAACCAAATTTGACAAAGACAAAAAAAGGGGTGGTTGATTTAAATCTATATTGCAAGTACAAGAAAAATTAAATGTGTCTATCCAATATCAATATAAATAAATGATGAAATTGATAATTTGATGTGTGACTTGTTTTTATATGACTGCTTTATGTACAAATATCTACAATTCAAATGATAACATAATAAAGGAAAACCAATGTAAAGTACTATGCAACCCTGTCAATGTAATTCATGCTAGAAGGACACATGTATATGAGTTTTTACCTTAATAAGGTGGGAATAGGGGGTGGGGGTCTTGATCCATGTCACAAGTGTCTGAGGACTAAATATCAAAGATCAAAGGTAATATTTAGAATGAAAATAATTTTCTACTTTCTTATAGTTTGTAGATGTGTATCTGAACAATGATCTTGGTAAATAAATTCATTGTTTACTGATATTTAGGTACGAAGCTAAAGCAGCAAATATTGTGTTCAAAGCAACACGGACTGTCACAGAGAGCTCGCACATAATTAGATAAAGTTTAATTAGATTAATGGGATTCAACATACCTTTTATTAGTATTTACGTATATGCAAAGAAAGGTATGTTGAATCCCATAAATATATTATCATAAGGCCTAAATTAGAATATTGTTTGTTTCCCCTTTCCGACTCAGCATTGTGACCTAAGGGTCGGTAGGTAGGAAAAATATTTTATTTTTTTTCCAACAACAATTATTAGATATCAGACAATAAAGTTCAATCATTTGTAATTTTTTGATTAAGTTTAAATTTGTTTATCAATGTTTAATAGCAAATATATTAGACACATCCACCGAGTTCAGGTATGATAGGAATGAAATCATTTAAAAAATATTTTTTCCTCAGATGAGGCAATAAAATTTTTTGAGTCGCGGCGATTTTGGTGGGTCGGTGGGTAAGGGGAAACAAACGATATTTTATTTTAGGCCTAGTAGTAAACATTACAAGAATTATATTTGTTAAAATTGAACCCTGTACGTACTAGATCTATAGGATATTTTGAATCTTGTCATTAACACATTGTTAACGTCGCTATTTTATATCTAAAACAGTTGTAAAGTTATAGTCTAAGGTTAGCCCGTTTTGGTTCAATTTCAAATGAAATACGATGTTAGGCCTACGTCAGCATGCACCACCCCTAAATGAATGCGTTAACATGTTCAGGCGCGGATCTAAAGGGGGGGGGGTTGAGGGGCCCCCCCTGGAATTTGCGGAATAGCAAAATAGAGAATGTAGAGTAACTAAAAAATGACCTCTGACCCCCCCCCCCCACTGGAATTTGTGGATTACAAAAAATTATTCGTTTGCCACCCCGGAATATATTGGTAAAAGGTGGAAGGAAGAGGGGTATGTAATTGACGTAGCGAGTAGCAAAAACTCTCTCTCTCTCACACCCCCACCCCCACCCTCCGATTAGGATTTTGAGAATTTTGGAAAGAGTTACTGTCCTTTGAAAAAGTACTAGCCCCCCCCCCCCCCCCCCCCCCCCCCCCCCCCCCCGAATTAATATTTTGAGAATTTGGGGTTTGGGATGACCATCTTTTATTTCATTAAATGAGTTGTGGAGAGGAAAAGGTCTAGGGTAGAATTTTTTGGACAGAATTGGACCCCCCCCCCCCGGAAAAAAAAATCTTGGATCCGCGCCTGATCTTTATAGGCCCTTAGGCCTTAAATAACAAGTACTCCGCTCGCACGGTGTCGGCACCATCAGCATATTTCACAAATTTTAGAAGACTGTAAGGTTTCTTCATGTGTTCATATTGTAGTATGTACTAACCTTGACGGAAATTCAAAGTCATGCTGATGCCATTTAGATTTGAGAATTTCCACTTTGCAGTGATCTGAAATTTGGTGTTTTGACTCGGGAATAATTTTACCAAGATCTGGATAGGTAGGCACATCACTGTTATTTATGGCACTGTTGCTGTCATTAGATACAGATTTTGGTCTACACACTGAATTTAAATTTTTCCGGGTGATAAACTTATCCATGACTTAAATAATCAATTAAACGCTTGACGTGTATGTACTAATTCTCTATTACGACAAGCACCTTAATGTCATGTAGGAACATTATAAAAAGAAAAGGTCAGACGAATAATAATTTTATATCCGATTTTAAAACCTGTATGTATGAACATTGGGCCTAAATTATTTTTTGCAAAAATTTATGGGCTTTTTTTTTTTTTTTTTTTTTTAGTGACAATGTGTAGGCACGTGCCTACTCGAGCCTAACGTAGCTACGCCCCTGACTAGAGTACGTACTCGGGTACGAATCGAAGTCACCCAGGGTGTCAATCAGAGCTGTCCATAGGGTAATGGTTGGTTTGGCTCTAAAAGATCCTCTCATGTCAGTTTCTTCTTCCTTATACAGCTTCGTGATCTCGGTGCGGAATTTACAGTACATGCACATCAAGGTCTCCTTCCTCTTCCAAAATGTGATCAGGAAAAGCCTTCGGCTCAGTTAAGCTGATGAAAGGTTGTTTCGAGACTACGAACTAGTATTAGAACGAGTTCACAATTGTGAAAAAAGAAGCTAGTTATTAAGTCGTACTTTAAATATTCTGAGAAATTTTATCAAGATAGGAAATATATTACCAGGATTCATCCCTTAGATTGCTTGCTCATAAAGGACCATCCAGTGAGAAAAGCGTCTGTAAAAGGGGTTTGCAATGAATTTTAACTTCATGTCCACTCTTTTCTCTCAGTCTTGTATATTATTTCCCAAGCTTAGTAACATTGTTCTTTTGTCCCTTACCCAGTTTGAGGCTGAGTAGACTAACTAGACTTCAGGGGAAAAATGTACCTTTTGATCAGAGACCACGGAAGCCCATTAAGATATATAAAAACAAATACTAAATATATAAAAGTGTCGTGTAACCGAGTTAGTTAAGACAATAAACTCAATTATATCAGAATAAATGAGGCTGGCGCCTTACCTTAATCAGGCGACAGCAAACAAGGTAAATGGTAATATGGGAATGAGTCCAGGTACACATCGAAATACAAACGAGTATGAAGGCATCAGGTAAAAGAGTAGTGTTCACACTAAGGCATCAGGACCAGGACTGAAGCTTCAGTATTGGTATAACGGGGTATCACGTGACATACCCAGTATATGGAGAGACCAGGGTCAGAGGTCATTTAAGTTGGGAGAATGTAGCGATACGTTAACAAAGCAATTTCACCACATTCTTCCCCGTTTTATTTAACAGAATTCCGTAATAATACATATACATAAAATACGTTAATTATACTTTTAACATATTTGTAGATATTAACAATAATACAATACTCTGCAATAATTTGACCGAAAAACAATCCAGACCTATAATTTTGCAGAAAATAAGCAAACAATATATTGTGACAGGATTTGGTTTTACCCTCAAACCAAGGTACCACTCACGGCACCAATGTAACCGGAATTCGCTACATGGAATCAATGCAATTTAGGAAATTCCACGATACCAGTGTAGCGAAAATGACCGTATGAAAATACCTCTTTAATATCACACACTTTCTTTATTAATAATAGTACTTCGCATTTTATTACAATTCTAACTAACCAATAAATCTCTTGATTTTCAAATAGTCACGAAAGTGACTTACTAACCCAAGAATTTTAATAACAAGAGTTTGCAAATTAAAAAGTATTTATTATGGCAACAATTGTATTTAACAGCACAAAAATATCTACATTTATATATTTACAACGAAAACTAATGTACTACATGTAACGACCTTATACTTATGGGCCTCAATAAAAATAAGTGCCTACCTAACAAATGTACGAAGTCCAGAGCCTGTCCTACCCAATGCTAAGTCCGAGTGAAAGTGACCCACCCCTGCACGAAAAATCTACTATGCCTAACCTAACCGGTTTACCAAAAATAGAAATAAGGAACTGGAAAATGGACGTAAAAAAGAAAGGAAAACAAAAAGGATTATGGTGAACGAGACAGAGACAGGGACCGGGATCCACCCCTCTAATCAAAAAGTGAGCTGGTACGAACCTTTGAGAAGGTTCCAGACCAACTGAAGTAAACGTGAAATGCTGGACTTTAAATACACCGTGGTCTGAAGGTGTGTCTCTCTTATCCAATCAAAATCTGAATTCTATGTATAACCCATACAAGGACGTTACCCAAATCACTGTATAAAGCTAGAAAGTTTCCGAATGTAAAACAAACGATCGTAACCAATAAGAATTATCGTTATTTACTTACTATGTAAAATCCAATCCTACCACACTCCCCCACCTCAAAACCGAAATATCTTAAAAAGATATTGAGGGTAAAATGTGTAGGTCAATTTCAAAATTATTCTGGAAGTATATGAGCAATAGTTTAACATTTCAATTTTCTTCACTTTAAAGTCACATTGAAATAAAAATGTATTCAATACTTTCAATTAATAGTTAATAAGATAAATGTTCACTGGTTTCACTGCTTCATCTGGATGGAATCATCATGGAATACAAGGCGTTTGATCATTGCACAACATAAGGAACATCTGAATTCAAAATATTTCAGAACACTTTTACATAAATATTCACAATATTTTTTGACTGATTTCACATCATCACTTCACATGCCATCACATATTTTACACATAATTAATCACACAAGTCGAACACGACGACCATCCTCCATGAATCACTGACGTGCCGAAGACTGCAAGGCTCCTCCAATCTTGAACAATTGTGCG